CAAAGATTATTTATTTTTGATTGGTTCTAATTTTCTAAAGTAGGATACAATAAAATTCAACTTGTATAAATATAATATTTTGTCTATATTTATTGTAAATCTCATTTTATTTTTATTTTTGTTAGTTATTTGTTTTAATCATTGGACTTTATTATTAGATCTGGTTATTGAACCTGGATCACTATTGGATATAATCCAGTTCAGTCCAATTGGACTCAGCTAAACTGGGCCTTGTCCAATAATAATACTGATTACTTCAGAAAAGTTCTAAGTTTTTTATAGAATTAAAACAATAATTTAGTTCTTGTAAATAATTTATATAAAAAATTCCAGGTTTTTTTAACATATTATAATAAAATATAAAATAATTATTTTCAATTAAAAAAATTATCTATATTAATTATCTTTATTTTTATATTAAATTTAAAATCTTTTATATATGGCACATAGTATCTAAATTCATTAAGAAATTTTATTTTATAAATTCAATAAAATTCTTAACTAAGAAATAAACACAAAATTTGACCAGAAATATTATAGAAAAGGACATTTTTGATAATATTGTCAATTAAGAGTTCCTGCACCATATTTGCTACAAATATTGCTGTTTTATTTATTATGAATTCAATTTTACTTAGGTTATTCACAAAGCAAATTTAACACGACCCGCAATCGCAATCACAATCACAATCACATGATCCACAATCGGATGAATCACAATCGCATAATTCACAATTCCATGAAAAATCATGACATCGATCCGTACAATTTGAGCAGTCGAAACCACCTGGACAACAACAACAACAATCACATCCACCACTACCACCACCGCCTAAACCTTCACCCGAACTTGCACCCCACCCCCACCAACAGCAATAACTATGAGTTGAATTATCACGAGTATTACACACCTTATTGCATGAACACCAGTGAAAAAGGATTCGAATAAAGATAATCAACGCTACTGCACATAGTGCTACTAACAGATTATCATACATGTTGTATTTATGGGGTTTTTGTCGTGGTAGTCCAAGTGATGCTCCCAAGAACAAATAGTATATTATGAATAATATATCTGCTCGCGCGCTTCGCTTTTTTACTTCCTTTTTTGTTAAAGGTACTCGTCCAAATAAATAATATGCTTCTCTACCAACTGTAAAAAAATATTAGAATAAAGACGAAATATGTGTGCTTTAAAATAATTGACAACATTTACGTAATAAAATTAATAATATAACTGTGAAGCTCATATGTCCACGAATTAATCTGAATAATCTTCCTCCTTGCCAAAGCCTAGCAAGTATTTCTAATATAGTAAATGTTATCAATACATATTTCACCCAATCATATGGTGCATACTAGAAAAATAAGAAAAATTAATCACAAAATCAATTAAATTTACAATAATAAAGAAAATCAATCAAGTGCTGACATATTACCCCTTTAAAAGCGTAATGAATAAGAACACAACTTCCAAGTAACATTGCCCAGTTGAGAACAGCCCAAAAATTCCATATAAAAACATTTGCACAAGATTTTTTTCGCATTGGAGATTCATAAGGTGTTAAATTTCGACGCGAATCAATATCATCAATATCATCACCATTACCATTATTATTAGTGGTAATTTGATAAGTTTCATCTCCCGCTGGGGATATCTCAATTCTTACATGAGCCTCGTTCGAAGAAAGATTTGGTGTGTATGCTGGTGGTGATATTGATTGAGGTTGAGTTGTTTGAATCGTTGCAATGTTGTTGTTTCCTGTCGCTGTTGATGAATCTCTAGTGCTTTCGTATGTTGGTGGAGGTGTAGTAGACTCCCAAGATGTATTATCATTGATATCATCTCGATTATGTTCCATTCTTGTACTATATAATTTGAATATGAGTATTTTTCATGGGAAATTTTTAATTACACCCTCGAGATCTCTTTTTATTATCTACTTCCTATCCTTCTATAGAGAAGAGAGGCTATGCCTACATAATTTATTTATGGTGCTGTGTGTAACCGTAATAACATTTCGTTGGCTGCATTCCGACAATCAGAAATACATACAATCATACGTATTCTATTTATAAATTGTGAATTGTCACAAATTTGTAGTACAATCATCAAAAGGAAGATAGGAGTAAAGAGATTTTAACATTGTAATGCATCGGACGCATTTTCATTCCTTGAGAATTGATCCAATCCAATTGATCAAATGAGATTGTACTAATTGATTAAAGAATATTTTGTGCCTTGATTTGCTGAATTACTATTCATTTTTATTCAACAAAAAATATGTTTGAAAAAATTTACGTAATTATAAAAGATTCATTGCTAAAAGGAATAGAACAAGAATATTCAACAATTAAGATGCACTACTATTGATAAACCACTTTTGCTTTGTGTCTTTTTCGAAATAAAAAAAGATGAATATACCATCAAAATGCATAGATAAGAGACTCTATGTCCATACTAATGTGCATGTATAACGATAATGTGATTTTCGATCAAAGTCTTCTCTTTAGAAAATACGAAACTAACCATTTTTATATAGGAATCTTTGT